TTTGAATTCGATTGTTCACTTTTTTGTTTGTATATCCTCTAAAATAAATGGCTTATTTTTCATATTTAGTAAATAAATTATTATGATTTTTATAAAATATAACTAGATAGCACAATACATTAGCATTGTTGAAATCAGTACGTGACGAGCTCATTAAAGGACTTATATAGTTATATGCTCTTTCATGAGTTAATTGTGGAAAAAAGTTGTGTTACATGGTTTAACAGAAATGTTTGTCTATTATTAACTCATGAAAGATGATATAAGTATTTGTCATCATTACAAAATTTCTCAGACTCAAAAATAAGTAAAAGTCTTCGGAAAACTTCTCTTCACTTTGAAATCTTGCGTAGATATTTGAATGCTGAAAAATTGTTGTCGTAAATTCTTGGTGTGTCTCTTTTTCTTTCTTGAACCGAAAAATAAATTTTCGTTCTGCATTGCCTTTGTCATTTATCAAAACCTGAAAAAATAATTTCATGAAATATCTAAAGGGGTTTGAACTCATGTCTAACAATTAGGGCAATGACCCTTGATATGTATACGCTCTCCACATCCATAGCATCTAGGCTTTGTACTCTCTTTCAATTTTTCTCACTTAAGCTCATTTTGAGAGAAGTCATTAAATAACTCGGTAATTTCACTTTCTTCAGAATTGCTTGTCTTGACATATTTTGACGATGAAGCTTTGAGTACAACTCCTTTGAATGATAGATTTCAATCCCTTTAGATCTCCGCTGCACTAGAAAAGTTAGACATTTCATAAGTGAGAAATTTACCTTGAAGTGTGTCGTATGTCAACGTGTTGTAATCTCGGCCTTCTTTGATAGGGTTGACTGTGGACTTCCACTCTGATGTGAGACTTCGAATGATTTTTTGAACAAGAACATGATTGTCATAATGCTTTTCGAGTGTATCCAAATTGGTGACTATGGTTGAGAATCTCTCGAACATGTCATCTATCATCTCATTTTCCATCATCATGAAAAGCTCATACTCGTGGACGAGCAAGTCGACCATCGAGTCCTTCACTTGACTTGTTCCTTCATATGTAACCTATAATTTGTTTCACATCTTTTTGGTCGTCTTGCACCTTGATATTTTCCGATAATCATCCAGGTTCACGTCACAATATAGAAAATTGATGGCTCTTGCATTTAGTTGCACCTTCTTCTTGTCATTGGAAGTATATTCGGCCTCTAGCTTTTGAAAAAGTACTACATCAACAATCTTCGTGGGTATCATCTCTCCATGCTTGATCACCAACCAAGAATAAAAATTATTTGATTGGATGAAGATTCTCACCCTCTCTTTCCAATAAGCATAATTGGTGTCGTCGAAGAGTGGCGACCTTGGTGTGGATTATCCTTTCGTAACTCTGAGTTAGAATGTACTTTGTGCCATGATCTTTTAGTTATTCAGCGGTAAAGCCTTGAAAAAAATCCTTGCTCTGATACCACTTGTTAGATGCTTTGCACATCTCCAGGGGGTGAATAGAAGTGTTCTCGAAAAATTCTCGATCAAAACCAATGCACCACAAACAAAAATAAGTGAAGGACAAAAGCAATGAACACACGATATATACTAGTTTGGCCTAAATTCCTACATCCAAACCCCAAAGAAAATGTGCCCAAGCCTTTACTAACTCATCAAACTTTACTGAGTTTGACAATCCAAATACAACTCACGAACTTGATTTCACAAGCCTCTTATCCTACCATTGAAGCTTTGATTTCACAAGTCTCGGGATTTCTTCCACCTAACATTTGATTTCACAAACCGTTAGGATTTCTACCACTTGGTGTAATCCCAACACTAAGAATACAAATCCCTTACAGAAAGCTAGAAAACAAACCACAGCGTAATAATTCTCCCAACACGGAGTAGATTGCGGCAAATACAATGAAGTCCTATAAAATATGGCAAAATCTGTCAAAGATTCAAGAAATGAGGATAAACTCAAGCAAGAAAGGATTTAGCAATCAAAACAATTGCCTTTGTTGGATATTAGAAGGTGGTTTAGTATAATCTCTTTGGATATTTCAAAGGATGTGTTCTTCAAAGTGTTCATGGTTTTCTTCTAATGATAATAACGAGAAAAGAGAGTTTATACAAGTTAGAGAGTGGATGGGATGAAAAACATTCAAAAAATTAGCCATTTGAAAGTTGAACTGCAGATTTAGTCGACTAAATTAGGGCTTATTCGACTAAATCAGGCTAACCTCGTTGCAATAAGAAACAAGAATTAGTCAACTAAATACTGATTAAGTTGACTAAATCAGTAGAAAAAATAGGGATTTAGTATGATAAAAACAGTTTTATCCAACTAAGTTAGCGACAAGAAAGAACACAAGACGTTATTTATTCGACTAAAAGCAAATTTATTCAACTAAATGACCTAAAAACTCCAAAATGTTAAGACCATTTTGAAACCAACTCAAAAACATTTAGAGAAGATTTTGAAAAACATTTTAATATTAGGAGAAATAACTATATGTCATACTCTTTAACAAACATTCTAAGACCTAAAAGACTACCCAACCAATGTAACAAAGTCTTAGGTCTCAATCCTTCCACCGATGCTCAAGCCCCTTCTTCACAGATGAATATGAACATGTTGTAGCTTTGATTTTTAACCTTGATGCACAATATGATGGTGATCTTTTGTAACCTTTTTGTCATTATATATATACTCCCTCCGTCCTAAAATTAACTTCTCACTTTCCTTTTCTGACCGTCCTAAAATTATCTTCTCAATTTCCTAAAAAAGCACCTTTTCATTTGTTAAATGACTCAAATGCCCTTCAAATTAATTCTAATATCCATCCACATCCACATACCAACCCTCGCCAAAATCACACTCTCTCCTCTCCCTTCCCCTAACTTCCGCCACCATCACAAACCCTAGATCAGAGTCTCCCTCCCAATCCGCCACCCTCTCAAGAACCTGGGATCCCACACCTCTCCATGATGTGCCTCTTAATTCCTTATGGATCCACCCCAGATTTTCTTTTTTTCTTATCGAAGGAGCCGATGACTCAGAGAACATCATCGATCATAATGTGAGATTCAATCTTAAGAGATCTATCCCAACGAAGGAGCCGACGACTCAAAGAACATCATCGATCGTCATCCAACCGCTGAATGAATCTTAGCGATGGCGATGTGGATTATGGTTATGATGTTGGTGGCGACAAAGGTGATGCCGACTACCTGTCTATGCCAACCATAGACCTATTAGATTAGGCATTTGGGCCCAATCTTTAATATTCCTCCTTTAAATACAATCTATGGGATAAAAATTTGGGATGTTCTTTGCTTTCTTTTGATGTTTGTAATCTCTCCTGTAATCTCACCTTGCTCAATACGACAAGGTTCTCACATTTGCAGTTATCGTTGTACCCGTGGCTCCATCTCAACCAACCCGTCAAGATCACCGCCACTACCTTAGCTCATTAAGGTTTTAACCCTCCACCCTGAGCTAAAAAAAATGACAACTCAGCTTTGTTAATGTTGGAGTTGTGCCCTGATGGCCAACTGTTTATCATTATTCTATCGTGTATAGGTAGATATAATATGTTTATACATCTCATGCTAATGTAAACAAGTATTATATTCATAGATTTATATTTAAAGATGTTTATCAGATAGTGTTATTCTGCTGATTAGACTGACATCTTGAAATAAATATTTATCTAAATGTTCATAGTCGAGTATTAACGAGAGTGGGATATCGTTAATGCATGTGAGACTAGTGTGTGTTGGATGTTTGACTTAGTCTCATAGTCAATGACAGTGTGTTCGCATCCGCACATGGGCAGATATTATCTGGAGATAATAGGATGCCGGACTGACCCATCCTAAAGATGTTGCTTGAACTTTTAGTTCATGCTCTAAGCATCTTTAGCGCGACCACGGGTGTAACTATCCTTCGACTTGAAGTATTACGTTTTCTGCAT